TTTATTTTCGAAACAGGCACATTTTGTACCATGTAAAGGAATGCCATCGGCTAAAAAACTAGCACAATTATTCATACAACAGATATATCGATTACATTAAGTACCCAAATGGATTATATCTGATAGAGGAGTGCAGTTTGTTAGGGATAACATTGTTTTACCCTAACTGTTTTGGGTAAAGATAATAAAATGATGAATCATGGTTTGTCAGATAAAGTGTATGGGACTTTAAGCTAAAGGAATGTAATTAAGGGTGCAGCTGTAAAAGTACTATATAAGCAGCAAGGCACTCTCTGGCTCTTACTGGCTGGCTTATTGAAGACTGCGTTCTTGCTGAAACGGGGAGTGAAGAAGTGTGTTGATATTTCTCAACGGAGAGAAGATTGGACTGATTTATTGTAAGTGTACTGACACTGGCTATTCGACACGGATTTTGCAAATAGAGTATCCCTGACAAGACTTGACTGAAATTGATATATGACTACTGGACTGTTTATAATGACTATGCTATAATTCTTAAATGGAATAAACAATAATTTTGATAGCACAAGCGTATCTGTATTTTTACTGCGTGTTAACGAGAAGGCTTATCTCACACATTTACCTGTCTTCCTATCTGACTTCGCTGTACATTCTGTTTAGTTTGTTTTCCTTAACAACTGTTGGGGAATCCAGGCTTAACACAGTTTACACCCAAATTTTGGCGTGAATTAATCTATGCGATTGGATTGACACATGGATTAGCCTACCATCCGGCTACCAATGGAGCAGCCGAAAGAGCGAACGCAACCATCGAACAATATCTCTGATGTTATGTTGATTATCAACAAAGCAATTGGACAACTTTACTGCCATATGCTGAAGTCACATATAACAACGCGGTACATAGTAACACCAGTTATTCTCCTTTTCAAATAATGAATGGGATGAAATTTACATACATACTGGAATGGCCGCAAGCTGCACAACCACAAGAAACTCCCAATACCACTACGTGGGCAACCAATATAATGAAACAATGGGACTCAGTGCGAATCACATTTTAAAAAGCCCAAGAAACATATGCAACCCAAAGCAACAAGAAACGATCTGACCAAAAGCCATATAATATTGGAGATTGGGTCTATTTATCAACAAAATACATATGCCTGGGTTTAAATAAGAAGAAATTAGGACCAAAATATATTGGACTGTTTCAAATATTATGAATCATAAATCCAGTAACAGTGGGGCTTCAACTGCCGTCTCGTTTTAAACGAATTCACTGTATATTCCACATTGCTCTACTAAAATGGGCCAATATGGCCAGACAAGAACCGAGAGCGACTATGCCGGGACCAGTACGCGATGATCATTACGAAATTGACAAGATACTTGATTCACATCAATGACGGGGTGTCCTGCAATATCTAGTTAGCTGGAAGGGTATCCACTATCAGATGCAGCATGGATACCATGTACAGATGTGTCTGCTCCCCGGTTGTGGCGGTGGTTCCATACGAAATACCCCATGAAAGCGGGCGGGGAGGGGGAAATTGTATATACAAGGTAATTATTGCCTGTTTTTTATTTCAGAGAGACACATGGTAGAGGGGGCCACATGTCGAGCTTCAACAACACCGCTGATGGAATAAAGCCCGACACGTTATAATGGTTGGGGTAGAGTTGCCTACTTTGACGGTCCCGAGTTGATGATAGCTGATGAAGCCAGGCACAACCTCCTCTCCCCACTTTGGTGTGACCAGCTGGGAAACTGCCTTGTCATCTGTTTGGCATTTTGCGACTCTCTAAGCACAATGCCTCTCCCTTTTCTCAGTGTGACCGGCCAGGAAACCCTTCAGGATATAGTATCGGCTGGTCAGCGTTTCACATGGGGGATATCGGGTGGATCGAGGTAGAAGGACACCTGGGGAGGGGGGAGGTGTTATCTGGGAGTTGGGTGGCAGTGCATGAGATTGCTGTAGATGGATGTTGGATGTTTGTTAGGGGCAGATGTTAGCTAATTATTGGGGGTGGATGGGGATTATAAATACTGCTGAGAGGCAGAGGCTCTCAGCGCTGGCTTTACTCGGACTTTCCATTTGTTGCTGCTGTTGGAGGAAGCCAAAATAAACACACATAGCTACATCAAGATTGTGAGTAAAGTGTTTTATTGAACCAGTTTCAGTGACCTTCCGTAGGAGCTGACAGTTGCTTTCAGTGTTGACATCCAGGCTGACTGAGGAGGAGGGGTGTCCCTTGGATACTCAGGCATTGGGACAAAGTCCATGCCACTTACTACCTTGAAGGGAATTAGTCCCATGCTACTGTGAACAGCATTTTTGTCCGCAACCTCCATGAAAGGCAATTGGACTGCTGATAATTCACATAGCCCCTCAGATATTGCTCTACCATGGCATTCAATCTCTCTGCCCCCTCCATTGGTGCTTGGATGAAAGGCTGAGCTAAGACCCTGGGATGACCCAATACCCCACAGGAACTCCCTCCAAAATTTGGCTGTGAATTGGACCCCTCTGTCTGAGATAATTCTCTGTGGTACTCCATGCAGGCAGTAGATGTGCTTCAGGAATAGCTTGGCTAACTGGCAGGCTGAGGGCAGTCTGTTGCAAGGTATGAAATGTGCTTGTTTGGAAAATAAGTCTATTACAGTCCAGATCACCGTGGTTCCGTCACTTTTCAGCAACTCCACTGTGAAGTCCATTGCCATCTCCTCCCATGGCTTCATCAACTCCGCTACCATTTGTAGTAGTCCACACGGTTTTCCTGTTCATTTTTTCATTGCGGCGCAGATGGTGAAAATTTTCACATAACTGTTTACGTCTTTCTTTATGCCAGGCCACCAGAACTGCCTCCGAGCCAAGTGTAAAGTCTTTAAGAACCAAAGTGGCCTGCCTGTTTGGTGTAGTGGCTTCTCTGAAGAACTAGGGTGCGTAGGGATACCGGGACGTAGAGTTTTGTCCCCTTCCATGGCAAGTTATCTCTTTTTGTCAATGTGTGTTGATTGTCCCGGAGCCAAGGGTCTGCTAGCAGTTTGGTTTTGAGTTTCATAATTAGGTCATCTGCGGGTTGGTCTTGCCAATCACAGTATTGTTGTCTGTTGGTTACTTGGGCAGCTACTTGGGCAGGGGAAATGATGGGGTTTACGACCTTCTCCCTTTCACATTTGTACTGGGGCATGTGGGAGAGGGCATCAGCCAGAAAGTTCCTTCCCCACGGGATGTGTTTTAGCACGAAGTCAAATCAGTTGAAGTATTGAGCCCATCGGATTTATTTGGGTGATAGTTTTCACGGGGTCCTAAGGGCTTCCAGGTTTTTATGGTCGGTCCAGACTTCAAATGGTCTCTGCCCCCTTCCAGCAGGTGGCACCAGGTTTGCAGTGCCCATCTCACTGCAAAAGCCTCTTTTTCCCATACTGCCCATCGTTTCTCTGTGTCCGTGAGTTTGCGGGAGATGTAGGCACAGGGCTGTAGGCTTCCTTGGTTGTTTCTTTGGAGTAACACTGCTCCCACTGCCACTTCACTGGTGTCTGCTTGAATGACAAAGGGGTTATTGGGATCAGGATGCTTCAGAACTGGTTCTTTTGCAAACAGTTCTTTCAGTGTTTCAAATGATTTTTGGCAGGTTAGGTCCCACTATAGGGGTTGTCCCGGGAAGAGTTTCTTTCCTGGACTTCCTATCTTTAGGAAGACCATCATGGGTTTGGCAATCCTCACGAAGGAGGGGATGAATTGTTGGTAGAAGTTTGCGAACCCCATGAAGCTTTGTAGCTGTCTGTGGGTATGAGGGGACTGCCAGCCCAGAATGGCTTGTACATTGGTTGGGTCCATCTCTATGCCCTCATTGGAGACTCAGTAGCCCAGGTAGTTCAACTGTGCATGGTGAAATTCGCATTTTGACAGCTTGACATACAGGTTTGCTGTTAGAGGTTTTCTAGTAGAGTGTGGTCCAAGAGAATGTGGTCCAAGTAGACAAGAACCCCCTTATAAAGATGTCCATATAGCACCTCTTTTATTAACTGCATGAACACTGTTGGGGGGCCCTGTAGTCCGAAAGGCATGACCTTGAATTGGAAGCTCTCTAGGGGGCAGTTGAACACTGTTTTCCATTCATCTCCCTCCCTGATGTGGACTCGATAGTATGCTTCTCTGAGATCTAATTTGGTAAAGATCTTCCCTTTGGCCAGATGGGACAGCATGTCCTTCATGAGCGGGAGGGGGTATAAATTGTGTACACACAATCCGTTGATCTCTCTAAAGTCCACGCATAATCTCATAGTTCCATTTATTTTTTATTTTTTCCCCAAAACTAAAGAAGATTTATTTGAACGTAACATTCTATGTCCAGCACTAACCTAGGTGTAGCCAACTCTGAGATACGTAATTCACTATCAGCCTTGATACTACTCCCCCCCAACCCCTCTGGGTGTATCATCCAATGAAAAAACGTCCATAGCCAAGAGTCATCAATCATGATCTCCGATTAGATTTTTTCATGGCAGAAGCTTCAGCCATCTAATCAGTAAGAAAATATGAATGGAATGTACTTTCGATTTACCCTGTTGTTTGCTCTTTGAAACTCCCCCCTTCTTTCTGTTGTCAACTATAAAACGTGTATACAAAATGTTTTATGAGTTGACATTCCGCTCCTCCCTGCGTGCCCTAGGATGAAGACGGAATGGGCCTGGGTCTTCCTCTGAATGCCCATCCAGCCTGTGCACTTCCCCAGTTTCCTCCACAACCAACCAGAGCCACACTCCCACTTCCTGTCAGCTGTTCCACCTCTTCCTCGGAGTCAGACTCCAACAGGGGCATGACAGGTAGCAGGAGAAACCATGATACCAAAAAACCACAGGTACACCTTTGGGGTCACTATTCTGCAGTGATTGTGATCAGTTTAGTTTAGTTTACTTTATTGTCATTGCACCTCGTACAATGAAATTAAATACCATTGTCAGTGTACATTATGACTATGAAAATAAACACAAAACACACATCCTTCACATTCTATACATTGAATTGAAAACCCCTGATATTGCATTAATTGTTGTGACTCAGAGGATTGAGCCTGCTATGTCAGAAGACATAGGCTCGAGTGATGAGGAAGACCTGGCATTAAGGTTTGAGCCTGCCTTGTTAAGTGACATAAATGGGAGTCAGGAGGAGGAGGAAGATAGGGCATTGGGGTTTGAACCTGCTTTGCTGGAGGTTTCATCCTCTCCCGTACCTTCCTCGTTAATTACACCTGTGTCAGCAGAGAATCAGGAGAACGTGCCAGAGACCTTAGATGAAGATCAAAGCGAAGAATCTTGGTTTGATGCAAGGAACAGATGTAAGTAGAAACGTCAAGCACAAACTGGAAGGAGACGTCGAATCAGGGATTGATTAAGAGACTGACATGCCCCTTCAGGAAATATAAGGAGGCGTGTTAACTCTGGAGCCTTGTCTGGATCAACTTGTTAATTACCTCGCAGCGTGGAAGAAGTCTTCTGTTTGCCCTTTTGGCTCTGAATCATCCAGTGACTCATTATCTTGGTTCAAAGACAGTTTCTGGGAGAGCTGCCAACGATGATTACAGAGAGGAGTTAACTCTGTGGTGTCTGACTCTAACTCTACTGCTGCCTGTCTTCTAACATCAAGGAAAGAATCCAAACCCTAGAACCAAAATCTAACAGATTAACAGAGTTGGAAGGCACCTTGTAGGTCATCTAGTCCAACCCCCTTCCCAAGGAGGAGACCCTAGTGGTGGGATTCAATTTTTTTTACTACCAGTTCTATGGGCATGGCTTGGTGGATGTGGCAGGGGAAGGGTACTATAAAATCTCCAGTCAGAGGTGGCATTTGCAGGTTCTCAGAACTACTCAAAATTTCCACTACTGGTTCTCCAGAACTGGTCAGAACCTGCTGAATACCACCTCTGGGAGACCCTACATCATTTCTGGCAAATGGCAGTCCAATCTCTTCTTGAAAGCTTACAGTGATGAAGCCCTCACAACTTCTGAAGGCAACTTGTTCCATTGGTTGATTGTTCTCACTGTCAGAAAACTTCTAATTTCTAGGCTAAATCTCTCCTTGTTCAGTTTCCATCCATTATTCTTTGTCTGGCCTTCGGGTGCTTTAGAAAATAGCTTGACCCCTTCCTCTATATGGCAGCCCCTCAAATATTGGAACACTGCTGTCAAGTCTCCCCTGGTCCTTCTCTTCACTAAACTAGCCATACTGAGTACTTGCAACCATTCATTGTATGTTTTAGCCTTTAACCCTGCCTAATGCTACGTGTAGGAATTGTTTCTGATTGTCTTTTTTCTTAGATCTTCATTTATTAATCTTAAATTAAGCTGAATTGCTCATGATGAAGTTAAATTTAACTTCGCATCTGTTGCAGAAAAGCTCTTTTTTGATCACAGCTGACAAAGAGCCAGGAAAGTGTCAGGCTGTGGACTGTATTGTTGGGTAAATAGTTATAGACTATATAGACATTTTTTCTTGACGCTCACCGTGTTGCTTTCCATATTCATGTAAGATTCTGAAGATCCTTTATATTTTGAAGTTTTTTTTCAGTTTATTATATAAATTATGGGCTGTGAGTTCTGCAGCAAGATGGTTTGCGTGCCAACAGAATGATTGAAGTTGTGATCTGATTTCTTACCCCATTTGCCCAGAAACAGAAGTGAGGGGACCTGATGACCCTTTTTCTGGTTGTGTTGTCATATTTGGTGATGTGGGAGTAAGGATAGGATAAATCAAAAGTAAATTTAGAAGGAAGTCCATTTAATATGCAAGAGTATATTTCTGAAGGTAATGTTAGCCTGTAAGAATGATATTACAAGGTACCATGACTTGAAAAACACTATAGTGATTTTAGCATACTCTTAAAAATATAAGTACTGGTTTATATGACTCTACAGACAAAAATATAAGCGTGGTGAAGAATTCCTATTTATACTATAATAAATAATGTGTTTGATCTTTTAGAGTAGTGATAATCAACCTGCGATAACTCTACATGTTACTCCCAGTGCCCCTCACCAGTAGTCTGGTGTCCTGGTATCCTGGGAATTACAGTTTAGCAACACATGAATACCACAGAATACTAATTCCTCTTATATTACTTTATGGTGGTGTTTTTCTCAAACTACTAGATTAAAATGGTCATATAAGAATTGTAGAAACAAAAGTATGGTTTTCTTTTAAAGGCTGAGTTGTTACAGAGGTGAGTATCCTGTTCGTGGAACTCTTTGCTAAGTGCAACATTCCTAGCATTCCTAAAGCTACTTTTTAGATCTTTGACTCTACTTTTAAGCAGAGAGGAACCTTGCTTAGCACTGAAACAGTGTCGACTCAGCTAGCCGATGGCAGGAACACAGATATCTAACTGAATCTGTGTTTCTGTGAGCAACTCAATCTGCCTGCCTGCTTTGCCTGCTTTTGGGTAAAAGTTGCTCTTTTTTCATAAAAAAATTCAATATTTATATCAATATTTATAATATTTGCATACAAGCCATGCCCAGCCAGTCAAATGGCCACCTTCCCGGACCTCACCTTGCCCTCCCTGTAGCTCCTCGTAGTGGCCTGCACCTCACCTTGCCCTCCATATATCTCCTCATAGCTGCTGGGCTTCGCCCTCCCCTCCCCAGGCCTTGGAAACTGGCAAAAAATACTTGCTAAGAAACTGGCCACTAAGCAAAGACCTGGCCGTTAAGCAAAGACCACTTAAATTTGATTTGCCATTCACATGGCCACCTGCCCTGCCCTCTCCAGCGCAACCCAGGCCTTGGAAACTGGGGAAAAACACTTGCTAAGCAACTGGCCACTAAGCGAGGTCCTGCCCATTAAGCGAGGACCACTTAAATTTGGTTTGCCATTCACATGGCCATCTGCCCTGCCCTCTCCAGTCACATGACCACCTAGCCACGCCCACCCCAGTCACATGACCACCTAGCCACACCCAGTCATCAAGCCACTGCCACCCCAGTCACATGACCCCATAGCCAAACCCACAAATTAGGCCACGCCCACAGAACCAGTTGTTAAGAAATTTGAATCCCACCCCTGGAATGCCACCAACCTGGAATATCACCAAACTCCATAGCTCTGGATGGATGAACTTTCCCAATGGTCTCCAGAGACAAGTTACTACATTGAAAAGCCATCTGGGTGTTGAACTATCTTCATCCAGCATCACTTTCTGGACAAGACCCGACAGGAAGGCCCACAACCATGACAGAAAAGTGCCCCCAGGGATGGAGCTTTGATTTTCTTTTTTCCAGCTACTCTTCTGGAAATGGAGCTTTGGAGAAGTTTGGGCTCCCCAGAGGAGAAGTTGCTTCTCTATGTAATTTTCAAAATTCTGGCCTCTTAGATCTCATCTGCTTGTTCTCCAGTGATTGTCCCCAAGGTAAACATCAGACAGAATCAACATCTTGCATCAGAAAAGGATACATGCCTCAATCACACACATTGTGGCACAAGTTTGGGGACAGGTAGGGACTGTGCTATTGAATGTACTTTCTGTCTTTTCCAGGTGAAGCTTGGTTTGTCTCTGTCTGATTCATGAAAACTTGTAGAATTTCCAAATTGGGAAGGTGCTTTGAATTCTTCTAACTCTTCTTCTTGTTCTTCCTTAGAAACAGGAAAGGGATTGATTCAGACCTATGAATTATGGATCTTCTGCTTCTATTTCTGTTCCTTCTATCCAAGCCAGTTTCTGGGAGGCTTGGAATGAAGTGCCCATTGAGTTTGAAGCTCCCGCATAGTGAGAAACAATGGAGCTATTACAGGCCAGGAGACCATCTCATTAGTATAATCACCACTAGAACAAACATAGTGCGTACAACAACGATGCCTTTCAACGGGGCTCCTTATTGTCAGTTTGACATGTAAGTCATTCAGGGTGGTGATGTAACACTAACCCTCTATTTGCTCTTCTAACATTCTCATTCTTTTCTTCTTATTTCACTTATTGCCTATATCGTAGGACCTGTCTAATTTCTTGAACTGTTTTGATTTCCATTGTTCCTCTCTTTTGACTTATTTTGTAGAAAAAGCTCGAATCCAGAAATGGGGCAGGAAAAAAATAATCTTTAAAAAGTCAGATTCCTTCCTGGTCCTCTCATGAGTTATTGTAACTGTAGTTTAAAGTAGTTAGTGAATGAGGTGTAGTTGCCTCTGCCCAGCCCATTTATATATGTTTACAACCACTCTTTCATACTTAATAGCTGATCCTTATAGGAACAGAGAATGACTTGATTTTAGAACTGCTTTTCTCGGTCACTTATGAAACAACCTCTTCCTATAACAATGATTGTACTTTAATGACTGAATGATTTTGAATCCTGGTTACTTGGCAGTTGAAAATTAGTGCTGTTACAAA